CCCCCCCCCCCACGTTTCATCTCAGGTGAAGAGTATACCCTGGTGGAGATGAGATGTGATCTCCCACAGGTGTACCCCTATGGATCTCATCAGGTGTCACACTCCATGGGCTTTCCCTTTTGGTGCTTTCTGAAGGGAGCCCATCCCCCTTTAATTTAATTTTTGCACCAGCCCCTCCACCACTTAAATGCAGGATTCTAGCATTTCTGTATACAAAGTTGAGTTATCATTTTGGAAGTTTAAATTTTCCTAATCTGAAAATGTATTTCCAATAGATACTCTCTTCCACACGCATTCCTACTGGTTCTCCCCACTTCCAGTGCATTTTGTTTCTTGGTTCATCTAAGGATGGAGTTATCACGAGTGCAAATACATAAGGCGAGTTATTGCGCAAGGATTTTATGCTACTTTCCTGTTGGTGGAGGGCTATTGTTGCATGATGATGTCATCATGCACCAGTGCAATTCACATTAAATATGTGAATTTAGGTGGGAGTTGGCTACAGGCATACAAGCCTCATAGGCAGATGAACAAGTGAAACAGCATTTCTTTGTGAGGAGGTGAGAATCTGTCAGAAATATATTTTCAGATTAGGAAAGTGTTAACTTTGCAGTAAGTTGTGATTTATGTACATATTGGATGTCAATAAGCTCCAGTAAAGATGAACAGAGGGTTATAATTTAAAGTTTACAATAATACTTTCAATAAATCCACAGATCTGGGAATGTTTTATGTTGTTTTCATTCCTGAAAATTTTGCATGTTAAATTACATTTTTTTGAAAGCTTTAGGAATTTGTATAATAAGACATCAGGTATATTTATTTAAATTCAGCAAGTATAGTAAGCAATAGCAAACAATTCAGATGACTGAAATCCTTATGTATTAGATATTATTATTAAATTTATCATATTCAAACAAAGTGTACAAATTAAACAACTTATTATTTGCTGGAACAAATTATATTTATTGGATATAAATTTATTTAGGCCAAGAATATTGTTTACAAATAAGGTATCAAAAGGAATATGTGAAAATGAATATCAAACAACTTGAATCTGACTGGATATATGTAAAATGGAACTTTCTGATAAGCAACAACAAATATTAAACTATTAGATGAAAGGAATTATTTTAAATGTTTTTTTTTTCAGCAAACCATTGGAAAATTCAATCTAAAATTTTTATAGAAATGCTAAATCAAATTATATTAATTTTTTTAACAAAAACTAAATACTGTTTAGAAATTTGTACTTAGTTTAATGCCATTTAGTTAAGTATTTCGATTGGGAGAAAGGGGAAAATCAATGAAATCCATGTGATTCCAAAATAGTAAAAACACAGTGGTTACCACGAGAGAGAGAGAACAAATGTGAGATCCAAAAATAAGTTTGGCATAACAACAGCAGAAACATTTAAAAGTATGTAAATGGGGTTGGATTTATTATATGTGTAATTATATTTTAAGTGCCTTAAAACATGTAGATTTTAAAAAGTTATAAATTTGGTAAATAGTATATATTTCTAAACTTCCTAAAACTGCATTTATCACATGTTTTCAGTATTTGTTAAATAACAGTAAACTTTTGCACTTATTTTTAATTATCATATTGAGGAAAGTTTATAATGATAAAATGAATTGATGATAGCTGTTTGAAGAAATTTTGTGTGATTATTGTCTTAGGTTTGCTGTAAAGACTTGTGGTACTTGGAAACTGAAAAACCACCACTTCCATCTCGTGTTCAACTTGTAAGAGCTTCAACAACAACTTTAGAAGTATGTTGGGGAAGTGTTCCAACAGGTAAAATATTACTTGTTTTTTATCACTTATTTTTGTAGATATGTATATCTTGAATTTTGCTTTCTTTTTAGGTATTTAAGTTATAGGTACTGGAAGAAATGCTGCCCTATGGGTGTCTGTTTTTGCTAGTAATTACTAGTCATGGTATTCATACTTGAGTGAAAAAATTTAGAAAAAATTAAAATTTTGTAAAAAAAAAAAGAATTCTTCTGAGAAGTACTGCAGGGGAAAATTGTTTGGATTGTGCTGATATAAACTGTAGTATTTTTACATATCAAAAGTGGTACCCTTTATTGAAAAAAGTTTTTTTTAAGAACGCCATTTTTTAGTATTATATTTACAAATTACATCAATAAAGATGTAGTCAAACCCTCACATACAGTCCTAGTGAAAGTCGTGTTCTTGTTGTGAGGAGAGTACTTTTATTTAAAATTTTTTTGTGATAAAGAAATGGTTGTTTCACATACTGTAGTTATTTTTCTAATTGTCTGAATCTTGAATACCAAAAGTATGAAATTTTTTATGGAATTTTGTTTGTGTTGCCATTCAGTAGGTAGCACCACATTGTCAATTATTTCGGTCACATACACAGATGCGTATATACATGCTATGTTTATTATAGTAAGATTGTATGAAAACGTTGATGGATAAATATGTAGCATAACCAAACAGAATAACTGTTACTGAGGGTTGTTTTCTGCCCAACCATTACATCAGTTTAGAGGGTAAGTGCATCACAAAAACTGGAAATGATGCAAACTTAAAATACTTCCAGAACTTTTGCTGCAAATTGTTAATTTGGATTTCAGCAGTTATTGGAGTTTATAGATGGAGTACCACTGTATTAGTAGAAAAGCAAAAATCTATATTAATCTTGTTTTAATACAGTGATGAGAATTGGTTGCCATTTTTATTGTCAAATTGGATATCTACCCAATTTGCTCAAGTTTCAATGTAAACTATAATTCATAATACTAGTAGGCTTAAATTGCCATGTATGCTTTGATGCTTATACAAAACTAAACTAAGCTTTCAATAAATGTTATGTTCTTTGTAGACAAAAAACCTGGTTTTTTAATTAAATATTTTTATTAAAAATTTGTCTGTATATATATGGAGTTAGATTGTTGACTAGTCTAAGTGCAAGGTGATTTTCGTGTTAAAATAAAAAATACTTTTTTCATCTTACAAGTTTTAAGTTTCATTGTGTATCTTCTAAAATCTAAATAAATCTTTTTTTTTTCAGTAAAATTATATATATTTTATTTGCTATATCCTAACTCTTTACAGACTTCGTAGATTCGACCGACCTTGTAATCACTATAAAAAAACGAAACCCTTTTTTCTAGAATAACTCCAAATTTTAACAGTTTACAACTGTTTCGACTTAATCTTATTGTTTCACTACCCATTGATTTGTGTTGAACTAATAATCCTGCTATACAAGGTATAAATTACACAGCAAATCCCTGGCTTGAGTTTCCATGTTGAATGATGTAATGCAAAAGCTATTCGCAACCATATCTCAAGGAGAATTTTTTTTTTTTTTTTTTTATATCTAACCTTACCTAATCTATTAATTTCATAATGTCTACATTTTAGTTACTGTTATAACAATAAATAAGAAATATATATAAGAAACAAGAAATTTAGTACTTATGTTTGGTCTCTTGTTTTTGCTGTCAGCTTGCCAATGAAACTCCAGCCTACTTTTTTTGTAATGATGGTACTACTACTACATTAAATATTTTTTATTTATTTCAAATATGCACTTAAGAAGACAAAATAACTTGCACAAAGCAAAAAATGTCCTATAACTATTATAATTTAATTGGCTTTCTAAGTAAGGCATAAGTGTCTTAAACTATTTCCCTCAGCAATTTGATCTGAACTCGGCATTAACAACTTTCAGTCTGTAGACTCAATAACTAGAAACCTGTACTGAGAACAATCTAGCATTATACATCATTCACTAATTTTAAACTTTGTTTTTCTATTCAGGACTTCATTGTTATTAATGATTGTTACCAGACGGCACTGATCATGAAATTTGCACATCCAACATGTTAACAGTGTTCAGTGTGACCACCATTCATATCCAATGCTGTTTTCGTTTGTTAGAAAACATGATACACATCTGAATGTTCAGATGCTGTCTGACCGTCAAAAGTTCCAATTTACTTGATGTCAGTCATGATATATCTTTCAGGTCTGTTGATGTATTTGGATCTGTCAAGTAAATTAAAGACTTGAGGTGGCCTCATAGCCAAATATCATCAAGGGTGAAATCTGAAGATTGTACTGGTCATGTATGTGGAAAGTGTTCTTTGATTGCTCATTCCCTGAAGGCATGTCCCAGCAGTATTTTGACAGTCTCTGCAATGTGGGGTGGATTCCCATCTTGTATGAAGACTGTTTCATTCAAAACTCCTCTTCTCTGAAGTGTAGGAATGATAACATGTTCCAAGGTACATCAGCAGCTGATCTTTGTTCAGATTTGTTTGTAAGCTTCTCATAAGCCTCGTTACTGCATGGTTTTCTCAGTTTGCCTTTTTCACATCGATATGACCTTAATGTTGTACCAATTTATTACCATGGCTTTACAAGAACAATAGTAAAGGTCAAAGATAAACTGACAGTGATGTATTTCTTATGTCAGTATAAATTCTGATATATTTTATGTTGTATTTACACACTTTATTGTACTTCCTGTTGAAAATTATTTTTGATACTGGAGTTGTCTTTCTCATCATCTCGTTACTTCATCTGCCGGATATTATAGCTCCGTGATGACCAATTTCTGAGTTATGGATGGTAAAATAGGCCATCTGATTTTATAATAATCCTTTATTTTTTGTCTTAAGTTTGATATTCATGTGTAATGATATCCAACAAGTAGCCAGAAGTTTCTGCAAAATTATAACAAAAATGGACAACAAAGGTAAAATAAGCATGCAACAAATGAAAAAGAAAAAAAACAAACAACATTTTTGCAATAATTTCTGTGTTTAGTACTAAGCTAGCCAACTTTGCTGACTGCTGTAGTTGGACAAGGATTTCCTAAACGTCTGCACTGGGCAGAAGAATGAACTTGTCTGCATGAGGCAAGGACAAGAAGAAGAAGAACATATTATTGCAATTTCAAGTTGGACAAGGTGGTCCTATCCAAAATCCATAGATTACCTCCATCAACCTCTATTCCAAGTGACATACCAACTTGTGCAAGTATCTGAGTTACACCTTGAGATGATGATGAACCACCCCAAGGAGTAGACACATACATACATGGTCAAACATATACAAGCTTTTATGAGATAGTCCTTGCTGAATGTAACTCTTAAATAAGCAACAGAATTATTACATGTTTACAAACATTTGACATCTGGTTTATAAGGATGTCATTAACTATGTGCAGAACTCTTACAAAAAAATATAGAAAAGTTACTTTTATTTGCCTTACTACAAATATACTCTAAACTAGTTATGGAAGGGTGAAATTAACAGGTATTTCAGCTGTGGCATGGTTAAATACTTAAACCCAAGTGGACAATGCCTGCTGAAAATCCTGATTTACCAAACTGTCTATAAGACAGAGACAGTACATACTTGTTAAAATAATGGAGGATTTGTTTTTAAAATTTTGGATATCTACTTCAAATCTTTCCATAGTTATTACTTACATTCTTAATATTTTTTGTCTTTTTAGTCTAAAATCTTAAGGTAATTGACCAAATAAGGAGGATGTTGCTCTGGACTTTGACTACCTCTGGTACATATTTGATTTAGGTCATACCTATCTTCATCCTGTATATTATATGTAGTTCTTGACTACCCCTTGTTCTACATGTCTGACTTAGGTCTTATGTATCTTCATCCTTTATATCATATGTAGTTCTTCATTACTTCTTTGGATTGCCGTATAAACAATCAATATAAAATTGTAAGGATGGTAGTTAAAGCTTTAAAGATAGAGAGTTAAGTTAAATATCACCCTTTAGAAATAATTTTATGAATTTGTTGTTTTTTTAAATTTAAACAGCAGATGCATATTTGCTCCAACTCCAGAAGTATGACATGCCACCAGTTACTAGTGTTTCAGCAGCTTCTGTGAGTCAGGCATCTACCACCCAGGCTGCTCATCCACTTTCTGCCATGACTACAACTCCATCCTCTCAGCCATTACCATCACCATCTACACCTACCACTCCAACAACCCCAACCACACCTGTCAGGAACCAGTTATCGTCTTCTAGTGTAGCAGTTTCAACACCAAAAACGTCAATGCAACCATTAATTCCACAGCATTCTCCCAGTGTCCAGACTCGTTCAACAGGTAGGATGTATTTTTTACACATTTGTTGAAAAATACCCCAGAAAGTAATTTTTTATTCTATTCTAAAATCTTCACCTACAACTGACCAAAGCAAGTCTAATCATAAAAAGTTATAAAATGTGCTCATGTCATTGTAGTAAAATTCCTGTGTTCATACTATACATTTTTCTGTATGACATTTAATCACAATATAGTGAATAAAGAATGCAGTCTTGTAAAACAATTTTGATTGAAATGAACATGTAGTAATAGTTGAAGAACTTCTTGAGTGTTAAAATCATTTTTTTACATCTATAAGGTGTTTCAAAAATATTTTATTGTAATACAATTTCAGTATATTCTTCTTGTTACTAGTTTGCTTGATATCATTTATGACACTATGTCTGGCAGGTTTCTTTTTAACCATAATCCTTACCCATACATTGCAGTGGAATTATAAGTAAATAAAATGTACATTACAAACAGTATTCCCTCTAACTGTTGTCTAACATAAGTTTTATAAGCTTATGTTAGAGTGCTATTAAAAATCTAGATGTTTTTATAGATTATGTAACATTTGTAGGAGATTTAAAAGACTGCTGTATGAACTGTGTGGAAAAATTTTAAGTTTGTTGTTGACACTGCTGTTTAAACTGATAAATGATACAATAGGTATGTGCACTTAAAATAGATAATAAGTGTTGAGAATAAAATTTCCAAGTTACTGTTTCTGTATTAACATTTTCACAGGTATTTCAAAGAACAATTTTCCCCATATTTACACATTTCTGATATAAAACTAGTTTGATACTAAATCTTGCCAATCTATTTTCATTCATACTTTTCTTTGGCATGCAAAATTTAGACACTGTTAAGAAACCTGTGTGACATTTCTTATTGATAGCCTTTGTTTTGTTCTGATATTTTTCATCATTTAATTGATACATCAAATTATTTAATCTCTTTAGTAGCAGTCACTCATCCTACTGTTCGTCTTCCAGTTACCTCTACAGCAATCCCAGTTGTTCGAGGTAGGTTTTAAGTTTATACACTTATGATATAGTTTATACACTTTACTCAAACATGTCATGAAAAATTTCATTCATACACTTTTAATATTATAGCTACTCTGCAAGTTTTCTATCAACCATTTGTTGACAGGCTCATCCCGTTGAACCAGTGTTCTATCTGTGAAGCTATTTATCTTAGTGTTTACTACAATTTTGAATTTACTGTGTGTATCTTCATGAAATTTGGCAAGCTTTTATTTAACATTATAAGGCTGTTGTAAACAAAAAAGGAGGATTTTTCTTATGAATTATTTTTACTAAAGACTTGTCTGTGTAATTCTGGTCAGTCTGAGAGAAAGGTGGTTTTCATTCATGCAAAGAATAAAAATTACTTCTTTTCATCTTACACTTTTCATATTTCATTTACAAAACCTCTAGAATCTCCTAAATGAATATCAAAAGTTTTTGATGTTTTTTGTAAAACTATATTTTCTCTTATTTACTCCATCGTAACACTAGCTATAGTGAAATAAAAAATATGAAACAAAATGAATAATGTCAGTTTTTCCTATGCACTTACTGCAGTAGTGATCAGAAAGTTTTAAATCACAGTATTATTTTTATAGTTTCAACTGTTAACCTTTTGTGGTTGTGTTGCTGTGTTAAAAGACTTGCAACAGAGCCCATTAGTTATTTTCTATAGAGCTATTGTTAGCAACATGTGATTGTGAGATATAATAATACACTTAATCGAGCATGTGAAATTTTAGATTTTTTTATTTTACTGAAGTTTTTTAGGCTAAGCTGAGAAGTTTCTAATTTTTACATTTTAGTTAAAAATGTATAACAATAACTAAAATATAGACATGAAAACATAACCTTTACTCTCTGCATCCTCAAGCTTTTTTAGTTCTAGTACAAATTGAAGGCCATTTTCCATTCCTTAAGACTTGTTGGGTTTCACAAATTTTTTTGTCCAAAAAATAATTCATTTAGTTTTCAAATGTGCATTTTGAACACAAAAAATATGTCAGTCACTGGAAAAGAATATCTCAAACTTTTCTAGCATATCCAACTTTCTAAGTAAGCTATAAATAGGTTGAGAAAAGTTCTTTAGCATTTAAAGCAGAAAAATAAGATAACAACAGAAAAGCAACACTCTTACTAATGCTTTATGGCAGGAAAACTAAACAATGGCTTGTAAGTAAGGTTTGTTAGAGTAGAATGTGCTCTTCCTATTGGTGAGTTTTACAAATTTATTGTTATCTCAGCAAATAAAGAAGGTAGAAGATCCAAATTGTTGTTTCTTGCTTGTAATTATGTTTAGTTTGTATTTGTAGTTGGTTATAAACTGCAGCAGCTTATTTCTGATGTTAGAAAATTCTGAAAAGGACAAATCAGAGCTCAGATGCGTCACATAACAGAAAAATGAAGACTGAGAATTTTATAGATATTTCTTTTTGCAATTATGAAGTTAAACTTAATGTACAAATTTGAATTATAAACTACATTTTCATGCCACATTTATTAAAATACATTGATAATAAAATTGGTTAAGTAAATTTTGAATGTAATACTGTAAACGATCATGACATAGGGTTTTTTATGGGATGGTGTGGGGGCTCAAATTCTAACTCTCCCTTTCATGAGACACTTTAAGTTTTGGGGTGACAATCAGTCCTACAATATGCCAGTTAACAGCACATATATCCACACACATACATAGATTTCTGTCAACTAATGAATGCATATAAACATCCAAAAATTACACATACCCATAGCTTGTGTGCCTGATTTTAACTCTTAGTGACTTAGTACTTGTATTGAAACTTATTTTGAAACACTAAATCTTTCTCTCATTTTTATTTAGTGCCAGTTTTTGAAGTTGTGATATTCTGACAGTACTTATATAATGCAGATCATAAATTGCTGAGATTTTCATTCTAAGAATTATAACAGACAAGTGGCTTCTATTGTGCTGATAGTCATTAATAATTAATTTATCTGAAACCCACTTCAAGTATTTACATTTTTATTCTTTTTAATTAAAAAAACAAATTACTTTCAAAACATACAACTTTATTGTGATATTCACATGGTTAACGTAATTGTCACTTTCCTAAATATTTTATAACTTTTCATGCAGGAGGCACAATGACAGTGGTTCATACAAAAGCATCTGGTGTAGTAGGAACACAACAAATTCGATTAGTGACAGCAGGTCCTAGTGGAACACAGGTTATTAGGAAGGTAGCTGCTGTGAACCCGGTAAGATGACTAGTTCAAATATCGTATCTTCTGTAAAGAACTTATTAATTTAAAATTGCCTCTTCTAATCTTCAAAAAGGTGAAATGATTTGTTGTGTGTGAAATGTAGTGTTTGTTAATATTTTATAACTGCTACTAGTGATTTTTGGTTTCAGACATTAATAAATCATCCTTGAGAAAATTAGCATAACTTGTTTATTAATGTGAAGAAGCTTTGTAAAGTGTAAATTATTATTATTATTTTTTAGTTCAGTTAATTGTAGCAAAGAAACATCTGAAAGCATTCTTTACCATTAAATAGAGCTTGGCATTAACTCTTTCAGCACGGGCTCGGTCCCTGGGACTGACCTCTTAACCATTTTTTGCTTGTTATAACTTTTAAATTAGTAAGCAAATGTTAATGAAATTTGGCATTACAATGCTTTCATATGCAAAATATCAAATTTTTTTTTATTGAGTCAATGTTTTTCTTGTGTCTTTTTTTTTCTTTTCAAATGATGCCTGTCTATCATGCAAAGTAATATTAATTTTAAGATTAAAAATACTTTTATGCATCGGAAAATTTTGAAATTTCACAGGCAAAGTCTTTATAATGTCCAGATAGTTATCAAACGTTTCTTAAGAAAAAACTTTGTATTTTATCTGTTATTTTCAGTGATTAATCTCTGTATGGGTTTGGTGGATTTGACCAATCTCACAATCGCCATAAAAAAAATTAGGAAATAAATATAAATTATGCCTCTCATTCTAGAATGAACACAAATTATAACATGAAAACATTAATGTTTAGACTGAATAGCTTAAATCTCATATCATTATAAACTTATATATATTTACTATTTTTATTATATTGACCTTTCAGCCATATCTGGCTAACAATAAAGAAGTTACAATGATGCGTCTCACATGCAATCGTGTTACTGTATCAAATAACATAAAACTAACCTTTGGTCTGTGCAAAGTAACTTGTCTTGGCTTTGTTTTAGTAGACTAGTATTTTGTAAAATACAGTCACATTTCAATTATTATATATATGTATATAGATTATTGCCGTTTTGAGATAAGTTCTTAAACATATTTCTCCTAAAACATAGAACAGTAACTAAAGAAGTAAAACAAACAATTATCTTTTCTAGTTACGTCCTTTGTACCCAGTTGTTGCTTAACATAGGTTGCTAAGACTTTAAAAAATTTGCAAGTGGACAATATGAAACAAAAAATTTTTCTTTTAGGTTTTATATATACATTTGAATAACTAAAAAATCATAAATTACTACATCAATACCATAGAATTCAACTATAATTTATCAAGCTTAGTAACTAAGATGTATTTTAGTCTAAAAAAATATGAAATTTTGAGCAGACTAAAGACACACCCTACTTCGTTGAAATATTGGTTCAAAAGAAAGAAATGGTGCCAATCCTATTAAAATGGCTGAGAAAGCCACTAGGGGAACATTCTGAGCTTTCAATTGGTTATTCATGTCATATATAGAAATAAGTGTATACAAGGGAGTGTTTTCAAAAATGGAAAGAGGTGGGTGGGGTGCCACTGTGTTTGATTTATTACATGAGCAATATCTTAGCAAATTGAAAAGAAAGAGGCTCTTATTTTATATACTAGCTTGTCAATATTGTTAATTTGAGTTTCTAATTTGTACGAAACTATAGACTTAGTATTTTGACTTCACAAACATCTAATTTTAACCAGTGCCAAATTCAACATACCATGTGACACACAAAAATTGATGTTTATCGGTGTTTTCTTTAGTATTTGCTTTTAAATTAAGAAATTGAGTAATATATAGTACTAAAATTTGAATTATAATCTATAGTTTGATACCAAAGTTATTGACATAAGTTCATGAAATAGTAGTTCAATAAAATTTTGAATGCAGGTCAACAAACAAGAGAACATGGCCTTTCACCCATGACCTGTCTCAAAAGGGTTAAAGTCCTGTCACTTTAACTAGTCAGTATTAATGATGGTACACAGTCTAATGTGAGAAATTGTTATTGAATAATCATGGTTTCCAGTTGTGTGCACATGAGAGAAAATGTAAATAGAATTTTTTAATATAATAATTCAGCTTAAATAATCTACTCAAGAAAAAGTTGAAAAGACAAATATATTATTTTATACAGGGTGAACAATATTGTGTTGGATGAGATAGCATAAAGTGTTTAGAATTGAAAAGTATGCATGAAAAGACAGTAAAGCTTATGTTTCTGTTAAATAGTACATGTGATCTAGTTGTATCAAGTGAATGTTTGTGAAAAAGTAAGCATGTTTAAGTTGTTAGCTTGAGCATTATCATTTTGCTTTGTGTCTAAGCTTAAGTGCCATTATTAAAGCATTTACTAATAAAATAATGAAATTTTAACTAAAGCCTGACATATAATTCTTTTGTTTTTAATTCTGTGAAATTTTGAGTTTTTTATGGCTTATTTTTGTAATACTGTTAAATTTTTTAGTGAAGAAACATTTAAAAACAGACTTGAAAATTGGCACCATTTTAATCAAGACACAGAATCAGTTGAGACTTTTATCTACACAGTTATAGATAGATGACTGAAACAATGGTTGTATCATACATAACAACTGAAAGTTTTTGAAATGCCAAGAATGCAGAGAGATGAATGAATCAACAGGTGGAATAAGATCAAAATGGATAAAATAAATGGTGTCTTGTTTGTGAGATGTTATATTTATAACTACTGACTTTTTCTTCCAGTACATCACCAAGGATGTTTTAAATGTACTGATTATTGCGAGAAATACAATAGTACAAAGTATAACCACAAAAAGTATGATCTTATTAACTATTTATTCACTAAAAGTTGGACATCTTCCAATTTATTTTATTAAATATTAAACCTTTTTTGCAGTCTTTTTTTTTTTATAGACATTATGTAAATAAGAAAAGATGAAAGAATACATTAAATGAAAATGAAAACATTCCTAAGTATTATAATTCATTTGTATTAAAAGAGTCAACTATTTTCAGTAAAGTCTTTATTCAGAGTCTGCCAAACTGGTTATTAAATTTTTATTGAACAACTTCATTACGAATGGACAGTACCCCAGGTATGCCTCCAACTCCAAGAAAGGCACACCCATGTAATGATAGAGTGAGAAAATGCTTAAGACAGAATACAATGTGGAGTTCTCAATAATTACAAAATTGAACAACTCAGAATTCAATACTTGCTGGTTAGATTTTTAGGTTTCTCACAGAGGTAGAGAAGACATTGTGGAACACAAAATTCTGAAGGTCGCATTACTAGAACAAATGCTCTATCTTCCTGAACATAACTTACTGTCATACTTTGAAATTAAATAACAGTAGCATAGCAGTAATGTTTTGTTTTATCTGTATTGTGATGAGCAAAACATTTTAAGGGTCTAGCTGAAGTTTATGTTGTAGAACTATTTCACATTTTCTAATTTTGTCATCTCTGACTTATAACTTAATCTTTTTTTTTAACCAAAGTTTTAAGTGTGTGGTATGCATATTTAACCCACATATTTTTATGTAGGTAACAACAGCAAAGACAACAGCAGTAGTAACCAGCATGAGTGGGATGGCAGCACTGGCTGCAGCTGCAGCAGCCACACAGAAAATTACCATGACAATGACACAGACAACCCCAACATCTAGTAACATCAGGGTAGTGTCTCCATCTGCTCTCACTCCACAAGGAGTAAGAATTAATCATCCAGTTTCTGTGCAAGGTCAGATAGCTTAAACATATCTTATTAAATATTGAGGTATAATAAAATTAACTTTATTCTCTATGGTTCAAGAGTTACATTAGTATGGTCTAAAATAGGATAGAATGTCAGTCTTCTTCTTTTGTTTCTGCTTGAAATCTGGCAGAAGAAATTCAAGTAGAGCATCACATAATGTTATTTTCTAGAAGTAAAGCTGTTGTGATAAAGAGATCTAGCTTTAACCATTGAATTGCATCAAAGTATCTAGCTGGTTTTTGTTGCATGACATTGTTTGGGATTTCATGGATATATTTTGTACTGTTCTGTAATTTAAAATAGGTATTATAAAAATGTTGTGCATGTTGTGTGTTAAAGATACAGTGAACATATTTTTCATGTTATTGTAAAATGTGATCTGATTACTAGAGGACATTAAATGACAAATTAACTGATTCTGTTAAACATACAATAAACATAATATTTTCCATGTTATTGACATTGTAAAACTTGACAAGTGTTGCATCTTATATACTTGAGTATAAGTGTTTAAAGCATACACTTGATTAGAAAACTTGACAGAGCTATTACTTGTATATTAAAGGTTAAAGACAGCACCCTGTTTTGTTCTCTTTCAGTAATTATAATGAGCTAACTCTCTACATGTATGGGATCGGTCATTTTGACCAACCTTTTAACCACTATGTTATCTTGAAATTATATATACTATAACATGAAATTTGGTAGGCCTTTATCAAAAAATCAAATTTTTTGTATATTTTGTGTCTTTCAGTTGGTTATAAATAATGTATTAGAAAATGTCGGGAGAATTATTGACATTTATTTGAAAGACAGTATGTGATAGGAGGGTGCTGCATGTAGGTTTGATTTACAGATTATATAATTAGATCATGTCTTAACAGTATCTATACTATAAGATTAGAATTTGTATTAAAACTCAGAAACTGAAATAGGGATGCGAAGAATATCTATATTGGGCAATTCGGAGAGAATGAGTGTCACATGTTATAGAGAAGTGAATGTTGAGAATGTATTTAAATATATCCTTTTGAACTTAAGAAACTGGAACTTGTATAATTTTAAAACTTCATTTATTAACTATGTTTTAATGCCAGGTTTACTGACATATGTTAATAATAAAATAGCTTAATTAAATTTTGAATGTAACTCTGTGAAAAGGTCGTAACATGCGCACTTTTACCTTCCTGTAGTTAGAGGGTTAAAACAGTAGAAAGATTTAACACATGATAAAAAGTGAGAATTTTCTACTAGTGATAAAGTTGAAGAAAGCATTAACTTAATTTGAACAGAATGAGATAAATCACATACATATTTGTTAGCAGTGGTTTTTCATTGTTCAAAGTCTAGTCTCTCTCTTTCACACATTTTTTTTAGTTATAGAATGGATACTACCAAAAAAAGAAAATATTTTACTTAATGTTAATTTTTGAAATTAATAAAGGTACCCTTGTCAGGTGTTGCATTTACTCCATTGGCATCATAATGATGGTGAGACAGCAAGCACATGCATTATTCTCTGGTACTACGGCATTAGCTAGGGAAAAATTGAAATGGCTATAAAACTTTGTAAAAAATGAAAAAATAAATAATTTTAAAATTCCTCTTGGGCATAAAAACCCCTGTTCTGGAAGTTAAAGGTTTTTTGTTGTGGACAATCAAGACATACAGATGCAACTCACTCTATAGCATATGTTTTCTTGGAAATGACTTCTTACCTTTAATGAGTTTTTTTTTCTCTGCTATTGGAAGCATAGGATATGAAACAGTAAAAAAACTGAACTGTATGAAAGTATTCTTTAACAATCAGAAATAGTCAAGGTAAATTTTAGTTTAACTCATTAGGTCAATAAAGAAATTTATATCTTTTATTGTGAATTATTTTGATTTATTATGGCAGTTTTCAGTAACCTAACTAACTAATAATTTCAAGATTATCTCTATAGATATACAAATATCACTTTTTGAAGGTTCACAAAAAATAGTTTATCATTTGATTTAAAACATGATCAATAAGATTTTTTTGTTTATATGCCACATGATGCTAATGTTTTGCCTCGTTTCATGTACATCATTATAAAATTTGAGTAGGTACACGTACTGCAAACTCTGCAACCATCTTGAAGACGGCAGGTGGTACTCCTGGTAAACAGATAATCACAGTTCACAAAGCAGGAGCTACATCTAGCCAACCTCAGATAGTAACTCTAGTGAAAACAACCCAAGGAGTTACCGTGGCAGCTGTAAGTTTGTGACTTCCCATACAAATTAATTATTATCATATCTTTAGTATAAAAGCATAATAATTAGAGCAATTTAGATAGTAGAATTCATTATGATGTTTGGTTTTATAAAGTAAAGTTTTTAAATTACTTTACAACAAACTTCATTTCTTCTTAATTTAGATGCCAAAAGTAAGCTTAATTCAAGGAAAGGCAGGTACTCTTCAAGGACATCTGCAGGTGAGAAAGTTAAAGTTGATAAAATATTTGATTTATATTTAACTAAACACTCACTACCCAAAACAGAAATTAAGACATTAATTAGAAAGTCAATTAAAAAATGTAAGCAAGACTGAAATGGCAGTTATTCTGTATGCTTTGAAGACCTGCATGCAGTTACCAAATCTACACAAAAATGTGAGGACCATGGATTTAGTATGTGGAAAGAAAAATTCAATGATTTGCTGCAAGTGGATTGAAAGAGAGAAGACAATGTGTTGAAGTTTGAATAACATAAATGCTTTATAGAAGAAAACCAGGTGTTGGCTGACCATTAGTGTGGATTCTTATTTAGTAATAAAGTAGCAGAAGAGAAGTATAATACACTATAGTTAAAGGTTAAGTAAAATTAACTTTCATGACCAGCAAAAGGGAGGTATAAAAGATCAACAAATCTTGGCTTCTTCAGGACAAATATGAGTGTTCTCTAAAGATCAGGTATAACCTCCTTTGAAAATTGGCAGAACTTGTAATTACAAAGCACATTCTCTCTGCAGTTGACCAATCAGAAAACAAGTACTGAAATGTATGAGTATGTCTGTTTGACGTAGCAGTCACAAAGGTATATACGAGACACAGGTTTAAACAGGATACAATAAAACTATCCCATGAAATAGTATGTGTGTTACTTGACTGGTTGAGTGTAACGGGCAGTGCCTTTAGGAGGACTAGTCATTGGAGCTTCGACTGTATTGCCAATTACACCAAATTTATTTAGTTGAGGATTGCAGTGATGAGTAGAGCTCACAAGTTACTAACTCGAGGTAATTTACAGTTGGAATAAAGAAACAGATTCTGAGGCTGACATTGAACAAAATACATCAATGTTTATTAGGTCTTTCCGCATAGGATACACTTTTAATATCAACAGTTAAAAATTTACTAAACTATTAGTTTCTTAACAATTATAACTTTCACTTTTCAGTTAAATGCTATTAACCAATACATATAGAATATTTCTCTCTATTATAAGCATTAACTTCCTTTAGTAAACTACATTAATTGAACAAGAGAGATAGCAGTTCTATACTTACAACAAGGTCGGACTGGAATATAAATCTTTATATTCATGTTGACTTGGAACCCTTGATTCCTCCTGAAGAGAACTTCAACTCTTTCTGGAGATCACCTCTTCCAGGAGATCTTCTTCTTCACTCCTTTCATGATTTTTAGCTCCAGACAGAGTTTTCATACTGTATTTTCTTTGTATCCTTTCAATTTTCCAAATAGTAGTCCTGACACTTTATTGGCTAATTTCTACAACTTGCATGGCATTTCCAAAACAAGAACCAAAACTCTCAAGTAATTGGTTACTGTGATGGTGAGTACTCTGGTTGTCTTTTTAGTCATAATACTACGTTGGTCTGGAGTAACAGATCTCACATCAAAGCACTGATTTGAGATGCTATCATAAACTTTTTAGTAGCATTTACTGTGCTACTAACTCGGCATCAGTAACTTATCACTGTCAAATTTGTGACTGACGTTTTTTCTCAGCGTCCTTGCTGTAGCTTCAGTTTTTATAACTCTTAACTCATGATTCTCAATACTAACTAGCCAGCTAACTGTGCTTTGCCTAGTTCTTGACCCAATTCTGTAATACAAGCGTCCTTTACTTGCACCATTTCTTCATGTATATGCACCACACTCAGAAACTTAAATTTCCTTAGTTTCTTTCTTAAAATTAAAATGCTGAAGCAATTGTAAAATTCCCTCAAAAACACCCAATTGCTTCACAAGGTACAAAAAGTAACACTTTGAACACCTGTCATGAGCAAACAACCTCCCCAAATGTCCTTTACAGAACTTTATTCTCACCAACTTGAAAATATTGTAAAATAGGCGTGGAAGAATCTTGTACAATGTATGAACATCTTCAGCCTGTTCCAAAATTAGAACTGCTTAGAAAAAATAAAACATTTGTTGATATGAAATGTATGCTGTAGGAGTGTAAGATCTGTGGAGTAGCATACTGCAATGATAAAGATGACATCTTGAAGATAAGTACATATTCTTTAAATCCTATCCAAATAATGGTTCATTGTAGTGAGTAAAGTATAGATAGACAACTCAAAATACCATGCATATAATGTACACTTCATCACTATGTGAAGTCTAGTCTTGCTCTTTTGATTTACACTTGCTCGGGGTTATTGATGAGAGCTCAAGTTCCCTGAAGCAGTATAACTCAAATGATGAATTGAATGATAGATTGGGCTTTGTACTTAGTTTTAGTATCTTGAACAGAGCTAAATGACAATTAGCTAGGTAGTAAAGATCTTGAAAATAAAAAGGCTTTTAATTCTTCTCACAATTATTTTGTATTTCAAAATAGTTAAGAGTAAATCATAAACATTTTGTAGCAGGTTTTATTGTATTGTATTTAAGAGAAAAATAAATACATGGGATCATTGGAAAGCTAGGTCAAATCATAGAAGAGCTGAATACTGTTTGGATGTTTGTAAACTTCAGTTCTTGTTTGTTTGTTTGAAGTGCTATTAAGTGATTTATTGAAATGCTAATAAATGATTCATTAATGAATAAATATTGTATTGCGAATAATTAAACTTAAAAGAATATTTTTCATTGTCTAAGAAATACAGTGAAAATAGCAGTAACAATGAGAATTGTAAACATTATTTCATTTAGTCAAAAACGAGCATTCCTCAAGGAGCTACTATTGTGAAGCTAGTAACAACACAAGGTGGAAGTATTGTTGGCAAACCAGGAACTGCAATAATCACTACACAAGCTGGCACCACGCAGCCTAAAATTCTTGGAATATCATCAATTTCACCACAGGTGCATTTATTTCCCTTATAAGAATTTTGCCTAATTTTGGAGGAATTATGATAAATTTCTTGTTATAAAAAATCATGTTTGATAAACTTTAATAAGTTTCTTAAGAAATGTTTAGGATTGTTTGATATTTCTTTAAGAAGTTTTATGGGTTACACAAATGCAGTTTGAAAATTGTCAGATGAAGAAGAGTACTTTTAATCTTAATGTCAAAAACATGTAAGGACAGAAAGAAATTTTGAAATGGACAGTTCAAAGTGCAGTCATGTCATGTGATGATTGATAATTCATTTGAATATTTCATTTTGGAATTCAGAGATTAAAACTTGGCTATAATATAAAAATTTGAAATATAAACTATGTTTTGATGACAGGATTAATATTGAAGTTGTTTTTTTACCTTTTGAATGCAACTTTGTAATAATGTAGTGGCATGCACATTTTGACCCTCTCCAATGTGTAGAATTAAGTTTGAATAGGTTTACATATGTAGTACCTCTTATACTAGCAGTTATGAAATACAGTAGTTACAATGTGTATTTGTAGTAACATAGTATAGAGTACACCTGAAAGAGATATTTATAATTTGTGCAATATCCAACAGGAAAACCAAGAATATGCAAAATGAAAAGAGAAGAAATGTTTCAAATAGTTGTAACTGTGAAGAATAAAAACTTTAACTCAGTGTTAACAAAATATTTATCTTTTGTTTACTGTGTTTGTGTTGTTTCAGTAAAATATATTATTTTATCTAACTTTGAATACTTCATACATTAATTTCGATGTAGGTTTTAAATGAGGATCTACATCAAATGAATCTACTATTACACTATTATAGATTATTTTGTTCAGAATTCCAGCAGAACTGTTTCATTTTATACTAAGATGTAGCTGCAGTATACATTGTTGCATCAAGCATTGACTCTTAAACATGAAAAACCCTTTGGATTTGCTAGTAATGCCACAAATTACCATTCAGTATAATAAATTTGTTTGTAACTTTTTTTCACATAGAATGATATTCAGTGTTTAATACTGTATACTGTTTGCTGAGTATGATGAATTGTGTTAAGTTTAAATTATAAGAAAATTAAAAAATTGTCAAATTTCAACTTAACTGACACATTCGAAAGTTGAAATATCATGGAACATACTTTGTTAAAACATGATTCAAAGTATCTGTCATTTTATCCTGTGTTTAATTTGTTGATGATTTTGTGTTTTAGTAACTGTTGTTTAGTTATAAATCTTGGTATAATTGTGTTTCACTGTTGGTAAGCCTCTGATAATGTTTTCTGTTTATTGAAAATTTGTGCACTTCTTTGCTATTTACAGTACATATCTTTAACAATTAACCATATTTTTCTTTCCCCAGTATTTTGTACCTATTGTGTCTTGGGTGAATAACAAAGTATTTTGTGAATAAGTAAGTTATATTGATTTGAAAGTATTTTTCTATTGCTGGCTTCTGTGAGTATTTAGGGACTAAGATTTAAAATTTTGTTTAATTTTTAGATTATCTTTTTCTTTTTAACATTAGCTTTACCATACTACCCAAACAAAGAGATATTGCTTTTAACAAATGCACTGAAAATACACTTTTCTTTAGGTGCTTGGGTCTCATCTATTTTGTTTCTATTTTTAGGGAACTATTCAGACACAAAAGATGTTAAACACGATTATTCGCACACTGCCGTCAAACGTCCTCTCTGTTGCCAAACCTGGGAGTGCAACAGTATTAGGTTCAACTACCACGGGTAATGTACCAAAGCAAACAATAGTCATTGCAGCACCTAAAGGAAGTCAGCCAGGCACACCAGCTAAAATATTGACTACTTTCCCAAAACTGTCTTCACCTTCCTCTCAGATCATTGTAGTCACTACTCATCCACATTTGAAAACAGTAATGGCAGGGGCTGCCACTGTTGAGGCAGGGAGAGGTACGGGTAAAATTGATTTACTTTGATTATACAAATTATAATTTCCATCCAAGGTACAGATGTGTATCTAAGAGTAACTTGTACCCATAATAGCCTGGCAAGTGTTTATATATGCTTGCTGTTTTCTATTCAGAACTTGTTTTTTTTCATCTCGTGAATGTTCCTTATCCTTTATAATTTCAACATTGTAAATATAGTTATGTGAGTGTAGGATTTTGTACTTCTTGTTAGATTTTTTTTTATACTCTGTCTATTAAAGATCATTTAAAAGCTTCATACATGCATGATGCCAGAAAGCAATCCCAAATTAAAAACAAAAAATCAAACACTAGGTTTGTTAGATAGGGCACTTCACTTGCAATCTTGAAATCTGGTGCCAAACATGCTTATCGTTTCAGCTGTAGTAGCATTGTAAGGTGACAATCAGTCACACTATTCATTGTTAAGTACTAGCTCAAGAGCTGGCAGTGGATGCTACTGGCCATTTGCCTTCCCTGTGTTTGGCATTTCAAAAATTAGGGGCAATGTAAACAAACTTGTAATATCAAATGGATAGTTAGCACATAAAGTAAAATATATATGGAGAACATTTCCTAAGGTTTCCTTCATTCTTCTTTAAACACATTGGTACTTTTAGTTTTTATAATGAAAAAAAATCACACACACACATTTGATTCTTTAAAATGCTATCTAATTTGCACTGTAGAATTGTTGGTTAAATGTTCTTAAATTATTTCAATTTTGTGTTTTTCAGCTACTGTAAAATAATCTTTAACTTCTAACTTATCACCAATAAAATAATATCAGTAATAAGCCAGAACGTTTTGAAGTGTCTATGTGTATTGTAGTGGTAATGTATGTGAGAAAGATAATTCTTAGGGAGGTCACTAGAACATTTACACAGTTGTGATCATTACATAATGTGTGTGTTTAAAGTCTTGTTTATTTTAAAGCCTTGTGGTTTAATTAACCCTGAATGTGTGTGTAAAATTATATGTAATGGAATTATTTATATTTTCACCTCTGTGAGACCTCATAGTTAGCATACCTAGATTATGGATCTGAGGATTGAGGTTTATGTTCTGTTGCTTCAAAGATGTGATCTGTTCTCTAGGGTTGTAGATGCACTTATAAGAGTAATGATCAAATCTCACTATTAAGTCAGGCAAGAGTAGTCCAAAGGTTGGTGGTGGGTGTTGTTGATTAACTGCATTCCCTCTAGCCTATCATTTTATAATTGAGGATATCTATGTGCATATAGCCCTTGTGTAGCTTCACATGAAAATTGTAATATATGTATATATGCTCTCTGTTTCCCTGTATTAATCTAATATATAATTTTTTTACTGTTGTTTTAAGTCATTTTCTAGTATTTTTTAATGAAACATTGCTCATACTTTATCATAATTATTATAATTTAAAAGTTATGAACACTCGGAAAGCAGCCTGGAAGCCTACATGTTCAAATGTTGCATGTGGTAGTATAGTTTTCCTCAGTTGATTAATCCAACTTTATAACTCACTGATTATCATTTATCTATTTTTTCAATCTAAAGCAAGGCTTATGGATAATCAGTTACTTTTCACTTCGTAAAGTTGTAAATTACAATGAAGCTTTAAGGCATGTTTACAGCTTTCATAATGTGCCCCCCCTTTTTTTTTACAAATTGAGTCACTTCTGAATCAATTTCATATTCATTTCCCTAAGTAGATAAAAGTAATGTTTAAACTTTTATCCATTATTAATTTTTGATAGTTCTATACTGCAATATGCTATTTTATCAAGTGATCAATTTATCTGACAAAATATACAACAAATTATTCTGTAACATGAAAACTATTACATTGCATGATTTTTAAAATGTAAAATAAAACTTTTGTAGAGAATTTTATTTATGTTGATACCTCAGAGTATAACTTATGTTATGGTAAATGTGATTTTAAAACAAGTTTTAGTTTTTCTCATGAAAGTAAAACATTCAAGTGCATAACTTGCACAAAAACAGGTATAATGAGATTTTAATTATACTGTTGGTCCAACTCTTAGCTCGAACAGGAACCTCCACAGTGAATGTTCTTCCAATCTCGGCTGGAACACAGTTGAAAACTGTGAATACCTCAAGTGGAATAAAGATGATTGTTGTGTCTGGAGCTGGAATTGGTGCTGGTCAGCAAGCTATTACTATTCTTACCACAAATTCATCTTCTTCAGGTCAGTTCAGAGATCTGTTACCTGCTTGTTTTTTTCTAATTTTCATGTTCAACATTTTAGGTTTACTATAATAACACTATCAGAACCATCTTTTAATTTGAACTAGTTAGTTGTAGTATTGATGAAACTTCAATATACCATAGATGTCACCATATTTAATACTTGACCTCTTCAGGCTTAAAGCACAATAAACAATGAACATTTTTGCACTTAGATGTTTTGTGTAATGTTATGTTTTTACTAAAATAAAAATTGCCTTATGACATGACTATATATATATATATATATACATATATTATCTTATTACACGATACTTGCATAATAGTTGTCCTGTGTCTGTCTCGTTCTGCATGGCACAAAAATTTTGTGACTGACTAGAGCTTTATTGGTATTTCTGTTTTGTTCTTATGTTACCTTACTTATTTTATAAAAAGTGATTAATTATATCATAAAGAGAAAACTATACTGAACATTTAGGTGAACCATTAGATACTTAAAAATACATAATTATTTGTTGTTGTTTTTATTTATTTTATTAAAACAGTGTTAGACAGAGCTTGTGTGCAAGAACCTTCCAGTAATAGGCCACATAACTTCATGAGCTAACTTATATTGTTGAAAGAATTATTACCATAAAATGACTTGTATATTATGTCATTAAAACTAACATAAATAGATAGTGTTTGTATTACTTCATCTTATTTGTAAAATTTATCTTTGTTATTTCTTGTTTAAATTTTAATCTGTATCAAATTTTACAATGTTGACCTAATGTCACTTATTACTAGCCTCCAGTATGGTGTCAGTTATTCTCTTGTCAGTTCCTTAAATATATAAAGTAAGTATGAAAGATTTCTGTTCATAGACACCACACCATATTAGTAATGACTTCAATAAAAGTAACAAATAATTGTAACCTTTACATAGGAAATTTATTATTTGTATAAAGAGAAAACAGATATTTATGGCAGGTAGGTTGCAAAAAAGAAAAAAATCAACTAAATAAATGTTTGGAAGTCATAAAAATGAGGATTTTTATCCTCATTGACACTAATAACTTCAAACATTTACTCTCTTTAAATTTTTCGAGCTAGAATAATCAGCAGACTGTATAGCAATTTAACCCCCCTCGCTACAGGTCTTCCTATGGTCAGGGGATTAAAAATAAGAATCTTCTACCTTTTCTATTTGTTGAGATATCACTATATTTAGCAAATCAAACAAAGTTGCCCTACCCACTTTTTCCATTTTTGGAAATACTTCCTTACGTACACCTGCTTCGCTCTTTCATGGCCTTATAATGAATCAAAAGCTCAGAGTTTCCCCCATATGGTTTTATCAGACTCTTGGAGTTGGAAACTTCCAAAGACTATTTCTATTGTGTCTTATATTCCTAGAAAGGGGTAAGTGAAAATGCTGTTTGAAATATCATAAACTTTTAGATCCAAATACAGCTTATTTACTAAACCTGATAAATTACAGTGGGTTTCTATGGTACTGACATTGTAATTTATGTTATTTCAAAATGCACATATAAAACCTAAAAAAATTTTGTTTTACATCCTCCAGTTGTGAATGTTGAAAAGACTTGGCAAATTAAAGCAACCGGCAAATGAGTACAAAGTTAGCAAATAGGAGAGAACATTGTTTTCTGTACTCCTTTATTTACTGTTCTGTGTTTTAATAGAAATAACTGATACTTAAAACTTATTTATGAATAGTAATAATATATATAAATATGTAATGTATTATAACCGAAATCTGATTGTATTTTACAAAATACTGTTCCACTAGAACAAAGCCAAGACAGGTTACTTTGTAAAGGCTAGTTTTATAGTATTGGATATAGTAATGTGAGTGCATGTGCAACGTGGCATTGCAACTTCCGTAATGCTGTTCAGACACAGCTGAAAGGTGAATAAAATAAATACAATAAATGTATATAGATTATACATCAGTGAGATTTAAACTATTTAGACTAAACATTTTTGATTTTTTCTCTTCATTTTTAGTCATTCTAGAATGAAAAAAGCATATTTTATATCTATTTCCTAATTTTTTATGGTGGTTACGAAGTTGGTCAAATTGACCAAACCCATACAGAGATACAGTAGTGGAAATAACAGATAAAATATAAAGTTTATTCTAAACAAAAACATTTGATAATTATCTGAAAGTTATATGGATATTGCCTGTGAAATTTGACACTTTTCTTAGGCATAAAGGTATTTTTAATCTTAAAATCGAAATTACTCTGCATGTTGGACACTTGTCATTTGAAAAGGAAAAATGTACAAGCAAATCGTTACATAAAAAATTATAAAACTTGATATAAAAATCTGATATTTTGTGTACAAAAGCCTTTTAATGTTTACTCATACTGTATTAAAAGTTGTAGTGTGAAAACTATAACAAGCACAAAATGATTATAATAGTGAGAGAGTTAAGGGAGATTTGTTTTGTACAGTAAATATTATCTACAGGTGGAAAGTTTGTATACTTCTTGTGAGGGGACAACAAATTAGAGTTAGTAGTTTTTTTATATTTTTCATATTTTATGTAAAAAAAATCAACAGAGAAAAATTAAATTTCTACAAATTTGAAACATCTACAAACCTAATGTTGCCTTGTGTACTCTGTGATAAGGTTAAGATTAAACATTGTTGCACACTTAGCAAATATAATAGTCAATAGTTTCTATTTTTGATCCTTGGATTAAAATGTAGATGACATTATAAAGAGAGATACAGTAGTTTGAGAAAACAAAAGATACATATAAAGATATTTGTCCAAATGTGCCTTTTCTGATATATTTATTTTCATATCAAGAGTTATTCTTTGTAGTAATGTGTGTGAGATTGATAATATTTTAAATCATTTTTTTATTTACTACTTTCTCTACAGATTTCCAATAGGAAGAATGTTTAAGACCAATTTTAGCTGTACCTTTGTTTATTGCTTGCTACTGTTAAACACATTATTTGCTTTAATAATAACATAGCCACACCACCCAATACAATAAAACTGCAAAAATATATAACTTATATTAATAAATTTCATACAGCATAGGAAATCTGTTGTAATCAAGAGTGTGTAATTGACTAGATGTTTTGATAGTATAATTTACTGTTTCTACTTTTAAAGTTATCACTTAAAATGAATTCATGACTTCAACTATTTACCAATATTTAAAGCTTGCTTAGTTCGGGGTCTTAGAAACAGTATACAGCTCGTGTCCTTCAGTTTATTTTGAACCCTGTTGGTCTCATTGCTCATTATACATTTTACAGATTACTGAAGCTACTGTTATAGTTGTTTACAATACTGAAAGGTAATCTCTGTTAACTGAAAATGTATATTTGTCACACTAACTTTAGTCTCTTTACATTGACATCAATCTATTAGCTTCATAGAGTTTAAATATTAAAAATGCTTTTAAAAGATCCTGGGGCAAAGGAGTAAAATATATCTATTTGGCTATTACTGATCTGTGAATATTTAAGTTAAAAGGTTTTTATGTATCAGTATTGGAATATACATATATACATAGTGAGGTTTTTAGATACCTAGCTTGAAGAAAAGTAGCCTAAAAATTGTTGTCAATTTACCCTGTGCTGGTTTCATGTTCCTTCCAGCTATTAATTGTGGAAAGTTTTTGTTATTTATTCATAAATTTCTTCAGATTTATTATTCTTTGGTATGATTTTTAGATCTTGTTTGTCACTGAAGAACCTCATCAAACTATCAAGAACACTAGGCCTTTCTAACATGTCTGAAATTAAAGTGGTAATAATAAAAAAAATAGTATTTAACTAGAATAATTAAGTTTTGAGTTATTGACACTTTGATACCATTTAAGCAGTAATAAGTTGATGATTATGATAAATTCGTGAAGAAATTGAGAAACTAGTTTCTGCTCTTAAATGAAAATTCAGTTAACATTAAATCATTAATCAAAACAAAAATTACATAGTTAAATAAATATATGATTATCTAATATACCATGCAGTTATTATCACTGCCTTTATATGAAACAACTGATTTGGTTTGTAAAAGGAAAATTATTCCCATACTTTTTTGAGCACCAGTTGAGTATATGAAGGCCTCCTTGAGAGTTTTGTGGTCTAAAATAAAGAAAATAAAAATGTCACAAAAAACTATTACACTGAAAAAAGCATTGTACATGTTGTTACACTTGTTTCTTAATTTACGACTTTATATTTCATCAAACAAACAATGTTTGAAATATTCCTGCTGTACTCATTGCCTGTTTTCACTTGTGAATTAAGAAAGTTGACATGAAGCATTGAATTCTATCTGTTCAATAATTTAGTTATAAAAAATTGTTTAACATGACTGGATAGTTCACATTTTCTGTCATAATTCCATTCAAACTGCCCAAGGAATATATCTTTTCTCTATTATGTTTGCTGTGTTTGGTTCAATTTGACAGTTTTTGTATATTCTATGGGTTCTTACATTTATTAAACATTAGCTATGACTCTTATCTATACTATTATTCTGCTTGTTTCTATGCACGACTTTTACACTTTCTGACCGAGAACCTGCTGCATAAGCATGTGTAGTTAGAATGTTTCCCCAAGAAAAACCGCGCATTCGCATTATTCACTTGACGACAAACAGTCTGCCTGCAGCAGAGAGCTGCAAAGCTTAGTGATCAAGTCGCTACAACTGCTGTATGAAACAAGAGTAACAACAAAAGTGGAATGTAAATGTACTTTACAAACCATTTTGTACAACAGAATATTAAAGACTTATCATAGTTTTTATACAAGGTTTGACATTGGGTCGTAGAATAACATTATAAGTTTATTTATTGATAGTATTAAGTACAGTAAAGTTTAGTCGTAACTAAACTAAAGCAAAAAAAAACTTACACAGGTTACAGTGTTAATTTATCTCTTTATTGAACTTAGGCCTAAAATAAGTTAAAGTTTTATAAAGTACAGTATATATACAAGTGGTCTTACACATTTTGTTGTCTACGATTGCAATTCATTTGTAATGTGCTAGAAATTTTATATTTAAAGAAGTACTGTTATGATAAAGATACTAATTTGGCCGGAAATGTTTTGCGGGTCTCTGATAGTAAGTTAATTAAAGCTCATTGTAATTTATACATTTTAAAAGTTGTCATATACGACAATTGAACTTTTTTAATTTCAGGTGTTCAAGGTGTATCAACAGTAACATCGCCCATTGCTATCACCGTGCCAGCATCTCCTTTGCATAGTGGAGCAAAAACAGCAACATTTGCGGTTCCTGAAAAGAGTACTACCAGTACTGTTCAGGTAATTCAAATAAATTTTTGGAACTTAAGTACTCAATTAAAACTAAAAAAAACTTATTAAATCTTGAAAATGTTTATTTTAAACTTATGAATTGTTTGCATATAAACTGTGTTCCATTTTCTGAATGAACCTGATATAGAATAATGTATAATTTTTCTATCTCAAAAATATTGAAAGGTTTGATACTTGAAAATTGTTAATTTATTTATGATTAATAATCTATTGTTTAATTCTGTATATAGGCTCAGTCATTTTGACTCTACTCGCAACCATGGAAGTATGCATACTATAATGTTTAATGTAGTAAATGTATCTTCATGAAGTTTGGCAAGCTTTTAGTAAACATTGTCTTTTGTATATACACACACATACACAAAATATTTTTTTAATTAAGTAATTTTTTTGAAGATTTGTCTCTGAATATATGGATTCAGAATGTGATTCAAACTAACTAGTCTGAGTGCAAGGTGATTTTCATGTTAAGATTAAAAATCCTTTTTTCGTCTTACAGTTTTGAAATTTAGTTTGCATAACCTCTGAAACCTCTTAAATAACATCAAAAGTTTTTTCACTCAAACTTCATATTTTGTTATTTTCTGTACCCTAACACTATATAGAGTTGTTTGTTGTTTGATTTACAACTTGTTTCATGGTATTATTAGATTAAAACATTTCAAAGAGCAAACCATAAAATTAAATAAAAACAGATTTAAACTGTTACGAGTCTTTAGCTGTTTAGGATAAATAATTGTTATTTTTATACTATAATCTGCAGTCACTCTAGAAAGAAGAAAGGGTAATTTAGGTTTATTCCTTGTTTTTTGTGATGGTTACGGGGTCAGTCAGTTTAACCGAGTTTGTATTGTGTTAAGGTGGAGAAAAATAATAGATAAAATATGAAGTTTTACTGTAGAAAAACTTCTAATGTTTAGGAGGTTCTAAAAGTTAAGCAAATAAAATTTTAAAATTGTAAGAGGAAAAATTGCCTTCACTCAGACAAATTTATAGTAAAAATATTTAAATAAAACTAATGTTTTGTATACAAAAGACTTGTAATGTTTACTAAAAGCATGTCAATTTCATCAAGATACACTTGCTACATTAAGAGGTATAGTATATATACCTTTAGGGTTATGTGATGGTTGCAAGGTTTGTAATCAGTTTCAGTCTGTGGGGCTTCCTAGACCTCTGACCAAATTTTCAGAGGATTCCCCTTTTGAAGAGTCACATGTCTGATAAATTATTAGACTTGTAATACATTTTTCTTTTTTTTATATTTTCATTTGTTTTTCACTGACCACCATTTCCTTTAGAATTCTTGTCTACACATTGCACTGTAAATATTCATTGTAATGATTGCTTCTATTTAAAAGTGATTACTTTTTCTGTAATATTGAATTTTCTAATACAAGGCATGTTAAAATATAATCTGATGTCAAAGAAATGACAGATCAAAATTAGAAAACAACATTGGAGAGGCATAACTTCATTTTAGACTGTTTTTCTATCCATGGCTTTAACTCGCTCAAATATGTTTTTTTTTCATTTTGTAACTTTTGAAAAGCTGCATACCAAAACATGTAATGCAACCCTGTTGCTTCTCAAAATTTAAAAGCTTTTACAGATTTTTTGTAATTTAAGTGAATTAAATGTATTTTTTAATTTTAGTTTTACAAAATCATTCTTTGTGAGAGTGTTTATAATAGAAGCTGTATTACTTCAGTCAGTGCTAAATATTATAGTGTTTGTTCCACTTTGGTTTTTGTATGCACCAATGAGTTTTATGAGATGCTACATCTCTATATACTAAATTTCTTGTTTAGCTGTTAAAATCTCATTATCATTTTCTAAAACTTAGTCATTAATAATACAAGTCCCTGATAAAAATATTTTTTTCCTTCAGTAGTTCTAAAATCCTTAAACTATATGCTTTGTCCACAAATCTGGCTAATTTACTTTACAGTTTTGTTATGAAATCTTCCAATGCTTTTATAACAGCTTTCAAATATAAGTTTTTATAACTTTTAATTACTTTTTAATTGTTCATTTTTTCCCCCAAATATAGTCAGTTCATAACTATTTTTCAAATGAAGAACAAAAGTAGTAGTAGAATGGTTTCATCTAGAAATGTCTTATCCATGAACATTAGGGAAATTATATGTATAATTTACCATCTATGAAACATACTTATAACATTGTGTAAAACATCTAAACAAGGATAAGCTCTCTTCTTAATCTCTATAACTTGGTTATTTTATTATTAAAGTATAATTACTGAATTTTTTGTTATGAAATTTTGCCAATGAACCATATAAAAAATGGGTATAAATTTCTAAGCTGTGAGATTGGTTGCTGCAGTATATAAACTGTTTGATGCAAACATTGCTCACATTGACTTTCCTTCAGAGTTAAAGATTACATTAGATTTCTTTGAACACATTACAGTTAATAACTGTGATTTTTATAACATTTTCTTTTTTCATACAGATTTTATTGCTCCTTGATTGTGATGTTTTATTAATTTATTTCTATGTCAATTAGCAGCCAGGGAGCTCTCAAATATTAGCTGTTCCTGCACAAGGAATTCTACCAACAGGAAGTCATGCAATAACACTGAAGACGAAATCTGGAACTACTCAAAAAGTACTAACCATCGTAACCACTCAGCCGTCACTCGGTAGTACACCTCAAGCTCAGGTCACTGGTAGTCAACCCAGTCCTTCAGTTTCAGTTGTCACTACACAGGTAAATTATACATATACACAAAATATCAAAGCTACTCCCATATGGCAGTAGCTTTGATATTATTGTATGTATTTATTATTTTTATTAATCAGTTCTAATTCAGAATTTAAGGTAGAACTTCTTAATATTGAGTATTGTTAAATGAAAAAAGCACTGGTTTCACTTATACTTTTCATACTTGGATCACTGCATTTAGGTTTTACTTATTAACTTAAAACAGTTCTTTATCTGAGGCAAAGTAATCTTATTGTTTGTTTTTCTTTTATTGCATGTGTTAAAAAATATATACATCTGTGTGTGTGTGTGTGTATGTAAATTTTATAACTGGAAAAACTCCTGTTTTTTAAGCCATGATCATAGAAATGTCATGAAATTTCAGTGTGAATAAAAAATCTCATGAAATAATTGGCTTCATTAAAATAAGTTAAACAAAAAAGTGATTATTGGAATTAGGCTTATTTATATTTCATGTTGGTTGTTGTGAATCTTGTAATAAAAAGGTGGGAGCAAGAGGCTGCACTAATGTAATCATAGAGAGAAGGAAAATTGCATGATAAACATAATCTTGAAGATATAGTTTCTTAACAAATATAAACTTGTGCTTTGGAATGGGCAGAAAAACCAAAGTGTGTTTGTAGTTGAAGCTCCTTAAAGCTGTGCAGAAATGTGAGAGAAACAAATTGCTTTTTGTTTTGTGAATTACACTAAGGTAAATGTTACATTATGAAAATGTGTCAGTTCTAAAATATATTTTACTAAAAAATTCTTTAAATAGAGTTAGAATTATTATATGTAACTTTTGTTCAACCTTTTTGTTGCATGAATAAAATTACTACATGAACTAGCAAAACATTCCCATAAAATAATTAATGATCACAGGAAAACAGTTGAAGTGTAGGTGCCTGTAACATAAGTGAAGTATATTTGCTCAGAATGTTTTAGAAGTACAACTTCTCTTCATCAGGAGATCCAGAATGTGCGTGTAATGCCCCAACACAACCTATCTTCTCTACTGTGTAGGTCAGGGTTTCCCAAAGTGGTCAATATCAACCCCCTTGGGTCGATGAGACTGTACAGGGGGTGAATAAAGACCTTGAGGTTGATAGTGTGTCAAAAATGCTCTCTGGGGTAAGGTTAGCCTATGCAACTTACCGCCCTTTGCCTTTCCAAATTCTAACCTTGTCGAAGCTGGATTTAGCCATGTGAATGGTCTTCTGAGCAAACAGAGAGATGGGCTCAATGTCGAAGAATGCGGGGACTTGAGACTGAAACTAGCAAAGCTACAGCCCAATATTCATACACTTGTTAAAGCCCGTTAATCTCATTAGAGAAAATTAAAACCTCATTCTTTTTTATGTTTCCAGTGATTGTATTATGATGAATAAAAGTTGATTCTATATTGAAGTTTCTTGACTATGAAGTTTCATTTCTAATTTATATTCTAAGAATTTGGGGATCAATGACAACTTTATAAGTTCGTCAAAGGGTCAACAACTCAAAAAGGTCTGGGAAACCCTGATGTAGGTGGATGAAACATTTGCTCTATACCCCAGTCATATGAACACCATTGACAAATTCCACACATATCTAAATAACATTCACCCCCAACATCCAGTTTGCTGTTCTAAGTAGAAGATAATAACCAATTACCATTTCTTGACATTATGGTCATTCATGATTAGTCCTAATAACTATAGTTTATAGAAAATAAAACATTGCTTGTATGTTTCTACACAGAAATTCCAATTGCCACATATCAAAATATAGGATTATTCAAAGTAATACCATGGAGATTAATGAGAACCTATTAAAACAATGAAGGTATAAACAAAGAACTAAACTTTGTGAAAAATACTGCCTCTGAACAAGGATGTTCAACCAATATCATTGACAAATTATATTACCGAATTCAAAAGAAAAAATGAAATCAAAAGAAACCATGAAGAAAAAAGGAAAACTTGTTCATCTAATATACTATCCTAAGATGTCCAACAACATTTGCTATTTATTAAAGAAAAAATGAAACTTAGACGTCTTTTACAAACCATACAACAAAATAAGTGAAATATTTTATAGAAGAAAAGACAAAACAAACGTTGCCCAAAATTTACTGTACTTGTGGAAAAGCCTCCACTAGACATACTAAAAGACCTCTACAAGTTATGCTTATATAAGGCAAAAATTGTTGCAAAAAAAAAACGACTTTGAAAGATTAGCCATCGTTAATCACATGAACATAGATCACCAGATAAAGTAGTCAGATGTCAAAACATCACACAACTGATATATAATAAAAAATGTAACATCAGAGAAACAATTGAAATTAACGAGCAAAACTGAACAACAACGAAGGCCATAAAGTAAGTACCTTTGTTATGGAAGAAGTTAATTATTGATTAGGAAATATATTTTATATATAGCATTACCGATAATTTATACAGAGTTTCAGTTCTGACTATTAACACACGATTTGAATCTCTTCATGAAGAAAAGTTGTATTTCTTGATACATTTGAAATAAACATAATTCACCTACGTTTTAATTGTCTTCCTATAATATTTATTTAGTTTGTAAGTTTTTATTACTTAGTGTAGTGATTTTATTCACTTGATTTGAATTTCTTCATGAAGAAAAGTTGTATTTCTTGATACATTTGAAATAAATTGTGTTATATACTAGAGCATAAAGAAGCTCATGTATTTCTTCATGTAGAATTGTTATTTTTTTATGTAACTTTTGAACATTAATATAAAAATGTACATTCGGTACCTGAAAGGTGCTCATTGATCTGGATAGGGTTAATATTAACTTTAAAGTAACCAAGTGTGTGTGTATGCTTTCTTAG